ATGTGCATTAAGAGCTCTTTTAGACTTGTTTAAACACAGAGTTTTACTTTATTACTCTTGTGCATGCATGGAAAGGAAATATGAGCAAATTAAATTGGTTAAGATATTCTAACAATTAATGAGGCAGTGATGATGTCAAGACTACTGGACCCACAGCCACTGATTAGAAAATGCCAATGTCTGTTAAGACACTATCTTGATGTTTAAAAAGTCCATTTTAGAACGAATGAATTATAGTAATTGTTCTTTCAATGTTGGAATTTGGCCAAAAAAAAAAAAAGGTGCCCTCCAACAGTTCTGAAATGTCAGTGACTCATGAGCTTTATAGTTCTAGAAACTCCTGCCCTATAGGGAGCCATGCACTTTCTTTTGGAATGTCCTTTTCCTCCTTTCTGCGTTTTACAATAATTATGTATGTTCAAGACTAAAGACCCCATCCCCAGACCTACAGTGATCTCTCTCACCTCTGCTCGAGCACTTCCAGAGTCTTCCTGGCCGTATCACTTGTGTGGCATTTGTAATATGCTGCGTTGTGATGTTAGTGTATATTCTTTATTCCCCTCAATGAGACTGGAAGCTCCATGAGGGTAAGAATTTTTTCTTATCCTTCCCCTCCCCCACCCCAGTAATTAATTTTTTTAAACACTTGGAAAATTTGAGAGCATAACTGACTTTTCCAGACATTTCTAACCCTACTCAATATAAAAATTAACAACGACTAGTGGGGGAAAAATGTGTATTTAGAGCCAAATGATGCTCATTGACCTGAATAGTTCCTTCAAGATGGTCTAGCCATGATTAATCCTGAATCAGTCAATTAACTTCTTCCACTGAAAGCCAGTGTGAGGCTGAGTGAGTTGGTGGTTGGTGGAAAGGAAGCTACTCACTTTTACTGAGTCCTCCACAGCATTCAGTGTAGTTTTTGTAGAAACAATCACATCTTTTCCCATTCATCTTTCATCAGTTTATATAATAATTACAGTGACACGTATAATTGGCATAAACTGGTTTGGGAATGAGCACAGTGATTTTTGGAGAGAATCAGTGGGAGCAGAGGCGCCTGGGCACATGAGAGTCCAGGAGCCACCAGTGGGAACGTTGAGCAGGCAGCAGCCAGAGTGCCCGTCAGTCTGGTAAGTAGGTCAGGCGGAGGTCAGTTAGAAGGGTGCCTACTCTACTCAACAACATGGTTGAATAAGTGCCAGATAAATAAAAGTTTACACCCATGTTCAAGGGTCTATTCATCTTTCCTAAGGTGCTGAAAAAAGACTCACAGCTGCTGTTTTACAGCAGATTTCTAATCTCTTGCAAGAATGTGTTAATAATAATTGCTCACATTGACTGAAACTCTCATTACGTGCAGGTTATTATTCTAAGTATGTGACATGGATTAACTCATTTAAAGGATTAAATGAGGAAAGATACAACAATCCCAAGAGAGGTTTCTATATTATTATCTCCATCTTACAGATGAGATCATGGGGCCCAGGGAAATTAAAATAACTTGCCCAGAGTCACAGAGCTAAGAAATTAAAGTGGTGATGTGGGATGAGAGCGCAGTCCACCTTGATTCTGCAGCCAGAGCCTTTAACTATTCCAGACCGCGTTTTTCCATTATATTCTCCGCCTTCTAGAACTTGAAAGGCAAATAATTAGTAAATATTTGAAACCCTTCCAGCATCCAAATGATGCCTTTTCTTCCAGAAGACAATAGGCTCTTTATTGTGATGGAGTATTGTGATGGAGGGGATCTCATGAAAAGGATCAAGAGACAACGGGGAGTCTTGTTTAGTGAAGATCAGGTAAAAACTTTTAATTTACCTTTCAGTGTATATTGGGGGGATTAAATTTATAATGTGATAAGTAATAAACTATGTTTATATGAAACATGATTTCTGAATGAGAATTTCAAACCATAAAATAGTGGATCAATATCCTTGATAGATTTTAAGTCCAGAACATATTTGCAGGTGAACTTAAATCTCTTTTTGAGAGTGAACTTTGACAAAAGATAGCTCTTATTTTTGGACAATCTCATGTAGGGTGCCGCTGAGATAAAGCGTCATGGCTAAACAGAAGTGAATGTGGACGATCCTTTGCCATTTAAAATGGGACATATTTGTAGCTTCACTCATCATCCTTTTACCATTTGGTTTGGTACTCTTGTTTTGAAACAGCTCCCCCACTTTGTCAGGGAGGATAGATGCTCTTCTTAGCAATGGCTCTTTGGTTTCATTGGTTATTAAGAGAGAGGGGAGAAAAGGTGAAGAACAGTGGCCTCAGTTCCCATTTTCTCTTTGCACAAACGATTTTCTTCCATACTCTGAGCTTCCTTGATACCATCTTGGGAGTTGTACTCATGGAGACAGGTGTGTGTGTGCGGAGAAGAATCTGACGCAGGGCCTGTGTGGTAGGTGGGAAAGACCACCAACTCAAGCCGCGCCCGGGATGGCCCACGATCTTTCTCTAGGCCATCTGTTTCTTTGTTCTCTTTTAGCATTTAAGAGCATCAGGCCCAAATAATTCCTTCCTAGAGTTAAAATTGAATATTGCGAATGCATGAATGAGTAAAGAATGAATATTTCTAACCTCTGTAAGTTTAATCAAGCATTCTTCCTATGCTCATTTACATTATCCATTAAATTCCACATTTGTAGAAACCCTCCTTTCTTTCTATCTATGTATTATTTTGCCACATTTAATAAAAATACTTTTCTCTACACAGTTTTGAATTACATTTTCCTTTGTTGGGAAAGAAGTAAAATTACAACTGAATCTTGGTGTCTGGAATGTAGCTTTTTTTTCTTGTTGTTTTCCTCTTTCTGTGTCATTCAGCAGACAAAGAATGATGATAGTTTAGATTAGTTTAAATAAATCTCTATAGTATAGAGCACAGTTTAATAAAGAGGCTCATGGCCAGCCAAGATAAAATAAAGCCATAGCTGAGAAATAAAATTAAGCTTTAAAAAGTTTAAAAGTAAAATATTTCTTAGTTTTACACTATATACATGTATATTGATATTGCATTAAAAATTTTAATAACCTCACGGATTCTCCACGTCTTCCTCTTTCTTTCTTTGCCCTCCGCCCCCTCCTTCCACTGAAAAGGAGGAAGCAGCGGCACCCGGAGTTATCAGGGAACAGAGCTGCTGGTCTGCTCTCCTGACGCAGTTAGCAACCCAGTGTTAAGAAAAAAATGAAAATCTGGAACTCCTTCCCTCTCTTTCTTGCTTCTGTTTATCTTTTTCTGTATTGGCATTCCCTTTGACACCAACTTGTTTGGACTGCTTTTTACACCTCCGTTTTTCTAGCTGTAAAAAGAAAATAGTATGATAAGATGGTACCTCTGTTAGCTTCATTCATATAAGTACACACGCATAAATATACTATTTCTCTCTTCTTGCATGTTATCAGGAAGACGTTTGAGTGATCACCAGCCTACTCACTAGTTTTGTTTTATGTTCCCTCTGCAGATTCTGAGTTGGTTTGTACAGATTTCTCTAGGATTAAAACATATTCATGACAGAAAGATCTTACACAGGGACATAAAAGCCCAGGTAACAGTTCAGCTCAGAGAAGAGCAAGACAGAACCGATCTTTGGTTTTCTTGAAATACCTCCAACAACGTAGCATTTTCTCCATTTATAGAACATTTTTCTTAGCAAGAATGGAATGGTTGCAAAGCTTGGGGACTTTGGTATAGCAAGAGTTCTAAACAAGTAAGTACTTTTTAAAATCACTTTTCTTTCTGTTCGTAATAGCCAATACATGTATTTTTAGATTTCATGAATTAAGATGATATTAAAAAGCTTAGTTTCCAAATAATTTTAGATAACTCTTTGTATAAGTTAATTAAATCATTCAGTTGGTACTTTGAGATTAAAATTCTCAAGATAAACCTCGGCATCGTAGAAGGATGGTGGCAATGTTGTATAGTGTGATGTAAGCGAATCAAATGAGATGTGACTTAAATAGACATAAAACTAGTGAGCATTTTGTGAAACAGGTAAATTCATACATGCTGGGGGAAGTATACTGATGCAACTGTTTTGGAAGGCAATTTGGTGAAATCAGCATCAAGAGACTTTTAAATGTTCTCTTTTTGGGAATTTATTCCAAGGGAATAACTTGAAATTTGGAATAATTTAAATGCCTAATAATTGGGAAATGGTTAAATTTTATAAAACTTGGTACAGCCATGTACCTGAATATTATACAGCCACTAACATTTATGACTTTGAAGACTTCTTGATAATGTGAGAACAAACTTTGTTATATTCAGTTAAAAAAAAGGAATTCTGAATTCCAAATACACTATGATCACAGCTATGTGAAAAATATCTGTGGAAAAAGACCAGAAGGAAATATATCAGAATGTTAATACTAGTTGTTTTGGAGTGATAAGATTTTGGGTAATTTTTTTCTTCTTTATTCACATTTGGTTTTTTCCAAATTTTAAATCATAAGATTGCAGTACTTTGATAATTGAAAAGAGGGAAATTTTTTTTACATGTGAGAATTATGCAATATAACAATTGTATCTCTTCATGGAATCTTTAAGCCGTAATTTTTTTTAACATGTAAACGTTGAAGTGAATTATAAGCTTAAAAATCAACTAATTTCACTACTCTGTTATTAATATGCAATATGTTTTGCTTTATTTTAATGTGTATGCATCAAATTTTGTGTTATCCATTTTTACACTTTTTTCTTGCATGTGTATCTATGTCTTAAGCCTTTTCTTACTTCAATAATAAACTATGTTATTTTATTATTTAATATAATTTTGCTAGTACCATGGAACTTGCTAGAACTTGTGTTGGAACACCTTACTACCTGTCTCCAGAGATCTGTCAGAATAAACCCTACAACAATAAAACGTGAGTTGCTGACTATTGGTTTGAAAGTCTTAGGAAAATCTGATAGATTCCTTCTCATGGTACTTTTGTAATTTCCTTTTCTTCACATATGAAATGAGGATCCCAGTGACTGCCTCTGACTACCTCAGCGTTCCCTGAAGCTTTCTGAACTTATTTAGGAAAAGACATTTCTCTTGATTTAAAGATACAAGTGATAGAAAGAATAACATTGAAAATTGCAGTCACTGTGATGTCCATCTTTATGTTTGATTCTCATACTTTCTAGCACTGTTTAGTCTATTACAGGAAAGTCTTGTAGATGATGGGTCAGGTAGAAGGTGGTGAGGTCTGGTGATGGAGCACTGGATTGGGAGCCAGGGATCCTAGTCTTGGCTCAGTCACCAACTTGACCAAGTCAGTCGATCTTTGTGGGCCTCAGTTCCCCTATCTGTGTTGCAGGAAAATGGAACAAGAGAGGATACGTGAGTCCCTGGGACGCACCCCGCCAAGTGAGGGTCCTTTGCTTTGCGCAGGAAAGAATTCAAGAGCAAACCATAGTAAAGTGAATGTAGATTTTTTTCAGGCAGAGATATACTCCATAGACAGAATGTGGTCAGTCTCAGGAGGGTGAGTGGCCCCAGGACAGGGGGTCATCTGGGAAAGTGAGAGTGACAGGAGATACACATTCCACAGGCAGAATACGGGCCATCTCAAAAGGCGAGAGGCCCCATGGTGTGTGTGTGGGGGTTCTTTTTTATGGGCTCAATAATTTCATATGCTAACAAACTAGATTATTCCAACTATTTGGGGGAAAGAGGTGGGGATTTCCAGGAATTGGGCCATCACCACTTTTTTGCCTTTTATGGCCAGCCTCGGAACTATATGGTGCCTGTGGGTGTGTCATTTAGCATGCTAACACACTCAGTGAGCTATAAGGAGGCTCAAGGTCCATTGGAAGTCAAATCCTCCACTGGTTCTAACCAGTTTATGTCCCATCCTGGATTGCTGGGTCATTGTTTTCATGGTTGTGCCCTGCCCCCTCTCTCCTGTCTCACCTGTAACGAAGAGGGTGTTGGCTGGATAATGTCAAGACATCTCCCAGCCTTAAAAATCTTTTTTTTTTGTATGTAGTACCAAAGCCTGCTGTTGAGGACTAATGTTAATATACGCAGTGATAAAAAGTGAGGATGAAGTCATTCTTACTTCTAGGGAAGGAAAAGGAAAACATTTCACTTTTCAAAGTTGGCTGCTGGTTGAACCTGTTGGCCTTGCAGGAAAACAATTCCTCTGGGCGTTAATTGTCTGTTTGTTTAGGAAGATACCTAAGGGATATTTGACTGTTTGACTTTGAAAGAGATAAGTGGAAGGCAAAGCCCTAAAAAAAAAAAAAAAGACAGAGTAGTAAATATTTCTCCACATAGTAAAAGAACAGGCATTTTGGGAGCTATCCTCTGACGTCTAGAAGGGGTTTGGCCTGAAGCTGAGCAGGAACGCAGGTAGTGTAGCCTGAGTGGAGGGGCAGATGCCCAGAGCAGAGCTTTGTGCTGCAGAGATCCCGAGGTTGAGGTCGGCAGCATTGTTTTGTCTCCTTGTACTGCTTTTTAAGAATTTGAGTCAACATTTAAATATGCTGATTTGGTGCTTCTGATCGTTGGAAGCGCCTCGCAGTAATTGTTACCAAACCAGGTTTCTCTGACCTGTGCACAGCAAGCCCAGCGCTGAGACACCGAGGTTTGCAACAGAGGAGTTTACTCATAAAGCAGCCAAACGAGGAGACTGGAGAACAAGTCTCACATCGGCCTCCCTGAAGGCAAGGGGCTTGAGATATTTATGGAATGAAGAAGCAGAGTGGTCTCAGGCATGGAAAGGGGACTGGAGGTAGGGAAGAGGTGAGAAAATTTGAGTCATGCTTCTGTATGGAATGCATGGTCAAAAATGGAGGTGTTTAGCGTGACCTGAGGGTGGAGCTTTTGGCCCTCTGAGGTCAAAAGGTCCTTCATTGAACAGTTCCACAGGCCCAGTTTTAGGGTCAGTGTCCCAGCGAGTCTTAGCTGGCTTGAACTGGGCGAGAGCTGACTCCAAGTTCCTGAAAAGCAACTTAAACCCTCCTTACATAGCAGCTCACCCATCAGAGGTGTTATCTGTGGGGTGGTTAAGGAGTCTTGTGATATATTACCTAGGCTTGGACGGTATGCGACTAAGGACAGAGGAGAAAGAAAAGAAGAGAAAAATAACTAAAACGAGCTTAATCCGTGAAGGCAGTTTGCAGACGGAGGGGCTTTAACAAGCTGCCCCCTTATCTACTGTTCTATAAAACAGACAAGAATTTCTGCTGGTCACCAGCTTCTGTGAACCCACGTGGGGCGCGGCTTCATAATCAGCTGGGTAGCGATGCCCCCTTCAGGCTGGGTTCACCACAGTCCTCACCACACCCAGGGTGGTGTAAGACATGCAGATTCCTCCTCCCCCCCAGCCCCCCGCGGCTTCATTCCCTGCCGGACCCCTGTAGCCTCTGAGTTCACCACACTGGCTCCAGGGGGCGCTCTGGGACAGGGGAGGAGTTTGGACCCAGAGAAGACCGGTAAAGACAAAACCCAGTGTAAATTCCGTGTGGTGGTGAGACGTGTCCATTAGTTTCTAGACCCTCTAGAAAAACTCTAGAAACCAGGTGGAAGTAGTTTGCTACCTAGTCTGTAATCACCCTTTATTGTACTTAGACATTTAGTATGTCTGCTCCTCCCGCACACAGACTCAAAGGAAGCGGTTGTGCTACAGACGCGGCTAAGTAGGGAAGCTGTTTGCTCCACCTTACTGAATCGTTCTTGTTTGACTCTTTGACCACCTTCTTACCTCCTTAACTTCTCATTAGGTTTTCTTTGGGCTTTTGGATTTAATTGTGCTTTTTGTTCTCTAAGGTAATTTCTTATTAAACCAATCACACATAAATACTAAGTACCAAGTACCAAAGAGCAAGTCACTAGTCATATATCATAAGCACATTTATTTCAAGTTCGTTGAGTACCAGATACGTGTTCATCATTTAAGCTAACTTTTGGTTCTGTCAGTAGCCTTGAATAGAATATACTTTTCTAAATCAACAAAATTTTACCGTTTGAATGAAAACAAATCCATGTTTGAGTTCTGCCACCCTCCTCCAAATTGCTCAGAATTCCATCCATGCACACATTTTGTCTGAGCACATGACGCTGAAGTATTAAACCATCAGATGGTAGCAAGGCTCGTGTCCCTGACTCTGCTAGGAATCTGACAGACTACAAATTGTTTTCATTTTACCTTTAATCTTAGTAAGAATAAGAATTGATAACGTATCTGAAAGCATTTGTAAAAACTAGTCACCTATATGAAATTGTAAAGATAACACGAGTATAAGGCACCATAAGGATAGAGTTTTCAGTTGAGAATTATCACTATTTCTTGGCATGTAAACTCTTGTCTTCCCCAGGGATATCTGGTCTCTTGGCTGTGTCTTATATGAGCTCTGCACACTCAGACATCCTGTAAGTATATTAATCACCAGATTAATCTTGAATTACTGAAACTGTATAAATGAAATTAACCTCTGAGAGGACAAGGTTAATACTAGTTTTATTAGATTGTTAAAAATTATGTGGACAAGCTATTAAGAAGACTGATAGGTCTATATATACTGACATGGAAAGATGTCCAAGCTATGTTATAAAGTACAAAATCCAAGTTGGAGAATAGTACAGGTAGCATATTTCCATTAAAAATACATTGTATGTGAATATATAGAATCAGCAAAGGGAAAGGTTGCATGGGAAATCCGGGCACAAGCTCCCAGGAACCTCTGCCAGTAGAGTCACATCGGATGCACTGATTCTCCAGCAATAAGTTGTGATAATACATGTGAAATATTATTTAGCAGAGAAGTTCATTAGAGACCCAGTGCCCTGGGTTCTTATTGGTGACTGGTCATTATGATCTGTACTTTATAAAATAAACATTGTTTTTAAACACTCTAGAAGGAAATGTACTTCTGAGTGGTGAAATTTTACATTTCCCTGACTATTTATAATTACTACTTATAATTTCCTATACCTTCCAGTTTTCTATAATGAGTAAATATTTTGATAAGAAAAATTAAAAGTAAAGAAACCTTGTTTTAAATAACATGACATCTCATTGAATAACTGCTTACAATATCTACTCATGAAAGATTAGTTGATGAAAATTCAGGGCGGACCGTAGCACTGCTAACTAAAGCTTTAAAACATGGCTTTGTTTCTTGACGTTAAATACTAGTATTGAACTTTTCTCTGATTTAGTATCATCATTCCTTGTCCTTTCAGTTTGAGGGTAACAACTTACACCAGCTGGTTCTGAAAATTTGTCAAGCACATGTTGCCCCAATATCTCCAAGGTTTTCCCGGGACCTACAGTCCTTGATATCCCAGCTCTTTGAAGTATCTCCTCCAGATCGACCCTCCATTAATTCCATCTTGAAAAGGCCCTTTTTAGAGAAATTAATTGGCAAATACTTGACTCCTGAGGTGAGTTTTGAGGCAACTCTGGATTTTGGCAGAGATTTAGGCTAGCAGGCCCTGACACAGATGTTTGGTTTCAGGTCATTCAGGAAGAATTCACTCACAGCCTCATACATAAAGCAAGAGTGTCTGCTTCTCGACCTGCTGGAAAGGTGGTCCAAGGTAAGAATGATTTAACCATGCAGTCAGAAAACCATGTATTATGTGTGTCTCAACGCAGTGATTTATAATATATGATTGACAACATTAGGAGGGAAATTCCTCCAAACATATTGAATGTGAACATTTAAAAAATATGAACAGTATAGGCAGGAGAAAAGTCATCTTGTCGAGTGGTGACCAGTGGGTGTGACCATGTGTCTAGCTCATGCCTGGCCTGGAGGATTCACCTTCTCTCTTCTCATCGGTCAGGAAAATCTGATGAAGCAGTGGATTTGCTGATAAGGAGATGCTTGAAGAGATAGAATCCAAACCTAAGTTTTGTGTAGGGAAGGGATAGAGAGTAAGAGAAGGTCCACAGACAGACACGGAATTATGAGAGGAAGCTTTTTTTTTTAAATAGAAAGGATGGACTGGCAATTGAGAATTTTCTTGCAGAGACCCATTGGAGCTGAAGATAGGATCTTGGACCTAATCAGTAACAGTGGGAGAATGGTTACTATGTGATCCCCAGAGAAAGCAAGAGATACTTTATGGTAATGATAAATAGACAAGCAATTCTAGTAGTGGTATTGGAAATCAGCTGATGAATTGTGTGTGTGTGTGTGTGTGTGTATGTGTGTGTGTGTTTGAGAGACAGACAGACAGACAGACAGGCAGGCAGACATTCAAGAATAGAAAAATTACTAATTCAATTGATACTGTGAAATAAGAGCCTTAGGATTAGCCATAACCAAATGTCTGAACTTCAAGGATGAGGAGTAGAAAATCTCTCCAAGAAATCAGTGATAGGGAAATATTCCCACTAAAATTGAGGAAACTTATAAAGGAGTGTTGAATGAATGATTCCTCCATGTTTAATTTGGTTTGGCATATTGGTCTAGACCAAGAATGTTTAGAAAGTAGGTAAGTAGAGGATGAGAGAAAGCACATTGTCTGCATTTCTAATATGGGACA